GAAATATTGACATTTTTAAAGATATAAGCTCATCCCGATGTTACACTCGGCGAGACCTTTCATTTGAGTACCCACATCAATTTTTCATATATTTTATATATTTATATATTCCACAAATACCATATATATATATATATATATATATATATATATAAAATATATAAGAAATACTATGTGGGTACTCAAATGAAAGGTCTCGATTAGTGTAACATCAGGGTGAGCTTATGTCTTTAAAAATGTCAATAAATAAGAACGTCCAGTGCAATTTAACAAAAGTTATTATTTAAATAAAGCAAAAAATGTTTTAGGTGCGCTGGAGTACAGTGTGGCTGGTAAAAGTTTCGCAATGCAGAAATACCAATAAAATGTAATATAATTGAAGAAGTTAAACTCTTAACTGGTGGTGTAGGAAAATAAATACCAGGTACATTACTCTGCTTAGTAGTTGACAGGAAAAAGATTTAAGTGAAGCTATGAATTTAATGACGGTTTTAAGAAATATGTCATTTCAAGTTATTGATTTATCGATTGGATATTATATGAAGTAAGTATTTCTTCGTGAAGACATATATCATTTGAATAATACAACAAATATAAGCGTGCTTACCAGCTATTTTCTTACTTCATAGATTTTTTATCCAACATTGATGAATAGTGTCCTAGAGCCGCGGAATTCGATTCCTTAACCACTCAATCTCCCGGTGATTTACTTTATTTTTATTGATATATTTATTGTTATTGATGTACGAGTGTTTCATTAAATTCCATCAGCTTGGTAAATATTAAAACGCACCTGGTCGAAGACACTCAGACATCGCTGAATGCTGACTGATAAATGATAAATGAAAGTAACTGGTGTCTTACGTTGTAATACTAATACAGGTATACTTATGAAGAAAATAATTCTAATGATTGTGGCTTGTGGTAATGCGCCAGTACAGCTAAGCGTATGAACCGGTTGCTGGTTTCAGCTACATAACACGCGCTATGCGTTTTACATAATCGGAGAAAACACGACGATTTCAAAGGAAAATAACGTCATCGGAGAAAGGAAAGGAGCTAGATTTTAATTATTTATCTGAGGATTATGTCCGTAAAAATTCTTTGTGTGAAACTTTATCAGTATTAGAAGAAAATATTTTTTGAATTTACTAATTAGTGCGGAAAAAATAATGAGAGTAATTAATAAGAGTAAAACTCGGATAGACTTTGTAAACTCGGATTGACTCTATAAACTCTGATAAACTTTTCTAATTATTTAAAGCTGACCTATGTCTTACTAGAATTTTAACTTTAACATCTCTTTGAAATTTCTGACCCTCACCGTCCGTATTTACTTACTCCAGATTTTTGCCGCATATTAAACAGACTGGACCTTTCACGAGGTTTCATTACCAGGTACTGTTGTACACAGTACTGAGTTTTCATTGATCAAAGTTTAGACATTGATATCATCATTCATAATAATATCATTCAATTATTTTACTATTTTGTTAAATATTATTAATTATATAGGAAAAAATTAATAATTTTTATAAAATTTATAAGATAATAATAATTTACATTTTAATTTAATACAAAAAAGTTATAATATAATTTTTTGATAAATTAAATGTCATTGCAAAGGTCTTGACTTAAATTTGTGCCTTTTCAAGGTTTCATATTATTCTCACTGATAGTCAATTTATTAGGATAAGTATTAAGGCTGCATTTGAAAATACTCTATCTCTAGATACATAATTGAGAAATGACCGTGTA